GCAGAAAAACAATATGTGCCCATTATCTAAACGTTTCTTTCCTGTTTTTGAATTGGCAACTCAAAGGCACGCGTTTGATAGGTGACCAGACTAGCAGGGAAGGCACAGGTGACACTCCACAGCAGAAGGCCCTCGCACAAAAGTAAAATGAGGTGCACAGCAGTGCATGCACAATCAATGGTGGCGTCTAGTAGCGTGTTGGTGTGGCTCTCTCTTCCAAGAAGGGCCTCTCTCGCTGATTCATGCGAAAAAAAAAACGCTGCTGGCAAAAAGCGCGCAACAACAACGACGCACAACAACCAAACGCTTCTTCGCTTCTCTCGCTTACTCCACCGATAGCCAACAGCAGTAGTACAGGGCACACCCTCCCGTCTCGCTCTCCCGGTGGTGTGTCTCCCTCCTCCCTTGTCCATGTCTCTGTCGCTATGTGTGTGTTTGTATTTTAATTTTTGGCATCGACCGCGCTAACCGGCTGACCAATGAAAGTGTGTGGGTGTCTTCATCCTCCAGTTTTGTGTAGACTACTCAACGACAAACACACGCACGCACACACATGCTTGACCAACACAGGCATGAGGAACCCTCGTGATTTTACGAAGATCCTCACGTCAAGCACCGTCGATTTTGTTTTCCACACACGAAATTAGGGTTGCATTGCTTTCGTCTCCCGGTTTTCGGAGAGTGTGCGACGCCACGAGAGAGGGAAATAAGCTGCGCTGGGAATCCGACTTGCCCGCAAAACTTACGTGTCAATCCAGAGCCACACTTTCGTGTACTCGGCCCTGTAGCTCTTGAACTTGGTTAGGACGGTCGATGGTTTCTCCATGAAGGTCTTCGCCTTGGAGGTGCCTGCGATACATTTCAAACGGCAACAGCGCGTGTGGGAGCAAGAGGAAGTCCGCTATTTGTGTGCATTTTTGGAGGCGGAGNAGGCCAATTGTTATGGGGAATTCCAATTTGGAAATTTGCGAGCTTGGAAAAAGCGGATTCCAGCGGGGAATTCCAATTCGGAATTCCGGCAGCATCCTAAGTTATGGGACAATTCGAAAATCTGTTACGCGGTGGGTAGTTGCGTGGGGGGGTGGTGTCGAGTGTCGAGTTTCGAGGCACGGAGCTGGCAAGTTTGAAAAAGGGCGCGCTACCATCGT